GTCTTTCAGTGCTGAAGGATGTGTTCCACAGTCTGGTCCGCCTCTCTACACTGGAATTTTGAGAGATGAAATTAATACTTTTGTTTGTTTGTTTTTGTAAAGTGTTTTACGGCGCTCGCAACTGCATAGGGTCATATGAGCGCGCGGGACACACCTAATCTTTTCAGTTGGTAGGACATTTTGAATTTTGCCCGGGTGGCGGCAGAAGCCTACTCTTATCGATTTTAGACCACCAAGGGATCTTTAACGTGCGCAACTTGCACACGGGCCCTCCGAGATTTTTCGCCCATGTCCGAGAAGGCTAGGTGTAGATCTTTCCTACCAGAAGATCAGGGGTGTGGCAGAAAGACAGCAGTAAGGAGGAGCCAAGGAGTAGCAGTAGAAAGGCTGCAGAAAGAGTCAGGAGCCCAGATGAGGGGACAAAGGAGGTGAGGGGGTGGGGGCAGAAAGTGGAAATGAAAGCAGACAACAGAACATTGCTAGAGAGAAGGAAAGGAGGTGAAAGGAGACTATTTTAGAGAAGAAATTTTTTCGGTCGCTACCCGAATTGGAACCCGGGACCTTTGAATGAGAGGCCTACACCTTAACCTATAGGCCACGAGAGCCCCTTATTAATACTTTATTGTCCATATGAGAACATTTCCTTGGCTGTACATGAATAGCTAGAAACGTATGCGACACTTTACAAAACTTTGCATGGCACTGAGCAGTTCCAGATTATACTGTAAACTGGGTCACAGTGACACTGTTACGGTCATTTAGCACCGGGGAAAAGCATGATAGACATATCATATACCGACAGGATCAACAGAGAGAAAGAAAAGAAGTAGGGCAAACAAGTGGCCCCTCCCCCCCCCACACACACCCAAGACATTCAATAAAACTTCAACGAATTCGGTCAATAATATAATATCGGGAACTGAGCTCAGATCTTCAGCCAGCGACAGCGAAGCGCCTAATACCGGGTGCCCATATCGGATGGGTCGGGTCGGGTCGGGTCGATCGCCCGACTCGTCACCTGAAAACAAACGCATTTGTTTTTGAGGCGACGATAGCCGCTTTGAGCCCTCAATCTGGCTAACAAACCGCCTCGATCCGACCTGACCCGACCAGACCCGATCGTGCCTATGGGCACCCAGTATAACAGCTGTAGCACAAATAACGCTAGTTGACACTGCTTGAGTTACACAAGAGAATAAATGTCAAGGCTGCTGGTCGTTACATTATCTTGGTGATATCAGGCGCTCGTCAAATAATGAAATCGAAGAAACAGGCTCTTTTCCACCAGTTTCGACATTTTTATCGAATTTCGTTTTTTGGTTCAACACCTTTCGCTTCCATACAAAAACCCATTCCAATTCCATTTGAATTTCACAAGAAAACGTTGATTAAAGGCCAACAAAATGTAATTTTATCGTTTTCAAGGACTCTCAACCTATTGCAATCGTCAAACTTTGGCACCATTTTCTCGCTAATGTTACCACTGAAACCTCCTTCAATCGCAAATATCTTGACCTCTATTCAAGACAGATGGATACTTTTTCATCGAAAGCAACAAAAATAAATATGCTTTAAGATAATACCAATAACTCTAAAATGCCCAAGAACTGACGAGCGCCTGATTCCACCGCGTCGTGACACTTATTATCATTATAATTGCCTCACAGCACACGATCAACGACCCCTGCAGTCTGTAGACATGAACTTCTTGTACTTCAGCACAGGGAAGAATGCCAGTTTGTCACAGGCCCAACACGCCTCGACTACGCCCTGCATGATGGACGTTATCACTGACACTCCCAAAAAGAGTAAATTAAATAAATGATTGATTGATTGTATAAATTGAATTTTATTTTTCTATTGTTTTTAACGAAAGAACATTCAGTGTTGAAATTTTACAGAGTAATTTGCTTTGGTTTGCATACAAAAAGGAAGAAATATTGAACAACACAAGCTGAATTGACATTTTAGAGGGACTATCTCTACACTACCAGTTTGTGGCAAACTGGGCCTGTGACAAACTGGGCCTGTGACAAACTGGGCAGCCCTCTAGCACAGTAAAGAAGAGGGTCAGCTTTTCTTGTCTTTCTTTTTTTTTGCCTGACGAAGACAGAAACGACGTTGTCGCGGTCACTTTGACCCCTCCTTGAGGTGCTGGTTGTATTTCACCTTGGCGTCAGAAAAGGTATAGCGTTCAAATACCCCCCC